TCACAGATTGCTGCTTAATTGCGGATAGCGGAATGAGTCATTATCACTGACAAACGCGCGTCGTTACAGTTAGAGCAGCGATCTATGAGGAATATTGGGCCCGGTCAACGGTGTTGCGAAGTTTCCTCCTTGATTGAACACCCTGTATATAACAGAGAAGACTGTCTCATGGGCTAACGCTGTAGACTTGTATTCGGAAAGCTCGAACTGAGAAGAATATTGCAGTGTCCCAACTGAGGTCTTTCGTTGTCCTGCTCAATACCTACCTACCCACCACTCGGCGCTACAGCCCTGGGTGAACCTTGGCCTCCTCTACAACCAGTCTCCACAACTAATGCGTGCTGCCGAGGCTTGTTGTTAGGTTTCGGAACAAAATTCTTTTTACAAGATGAGGTTGTTAGCCTCATGCCCAACCCCCAACCTGGAGGATCAGGGTATCTCTCTTAGTCTGGACTCTACCCTTTGACACTTCCGACATGGGTGACCCTACCGGTAGTTAAACTACCGCCGGCATAGCTCTGAAGGTCAGAGAGTCACGCAAGTCCCACCACCACGACAAAGTGGAGACACCTTTGGGGTGGTGTCCTGCTCAACCCCCAAAGCAAATTCCAGGTGAGTGTTCTTATTTGACCATGAAGACTTCCTCCCAAATCTCTTCTAGTTCATTACTCAGCAGACGTCCTACCACTCGATGCTATAAAATCTGGGATACTGACAGCGTTGTAAAACAACCCACGGACATACAGACGCATGTGTACAGTAAGGCTATAAACCTCCATGCTAATATTCTGACGTCAAACGTTCCTCGCTATGAAACAAATTAATTTAGACATTCCAACCTGATGAAAGCAATCATTTATTCAGCAAGTGGTCTGCCGTTACCTGTGGGCCAGTACACACCAAAACTAAAAAAAAAGGGTAATAACAAAGCAAAACTAAGAAAGAATGATCCACTGGCCTCATACAGGTCTTATCATTAATACGACAATGCCTGAAGACAATCAGTAACACCTCAAACTTATATTTCTAGGAAAATATTCTTTGTTGTCAACGCACTGGCAATAGTTCATTGCCCCTAGTGGCATATCCTTAACGACGTGAATCAGTGATATACGTGAATAGAATTTGTTGTGCGTGAGGGTGGCTAGACCATCTCTCTACATTAAAGCACCTTCGTATATCTTATGGACAAGAGATGCAGTTGGAAGGAACCGACTTTCATAAAAATAAGCTTTGATAATAGTAAAACAGCCTCAAGAAGTTAAAATAGAACATAGAACATCATACAGAGATCATATAGGGCGTGACAACAGGTTTTTCCCTTGGCACTACAGCCATAGTAGGCCTAGGCCTACCTCCATGAACTTCTCCGTTCACTTTCAGTTTTTCTAGATGTTACACATTCGGTAGGACTACTTGGGCGGGTGATCAGCTCGTCGCAAGGCCTCTACCTGTACACAAACACAGAAAAACGCACACAAACAAACTAAACATCCATGCCCTGAGTGGGATTCGAACCCACGATCCCGGCTTCCGAGCGAGCGAAGACAGTACATGCCTTAGACCGCTCGGCTACCGTAACCGACATTACAACAGCTTACGTAGGTTAAAATAGGAATCTGTAACAGCTTACCGACTGTGTATAAAATTAAGAAACTGAAAAGGCGGCCGAGTTCCTAGCCATAGGCTAGGAACATACACAGCGACATCGGTCGTACGGAAAATGTCGTACGATTTTTTTTGCCGTACGACCTCATTTTCACACTACAGCGACTTTATATGCCCCGAATCTCAGTTTTGATGAAGGAACAATGAACGATGGACCGAGAGTGCGTACTTGTCATGTGGTATTTACACCGACGCTGAAAATAGAAACGGAGGCAGAAGGAAACATAGCACTGGCTGCATCCAGACAATCAAAGGCGAGATAAAGTTGTGGTTTGGTCCGACTGTCGTACGACCGATGTCGCTGTGTGTGTTCATAGTCATAGAGAGAAAAAAATGAATGAAATACGAAATAGTAGAAATAGCAACTTAATCCTCGTGGGTTGTTTCGAACACAATTTCATGATACGCCACTGACGAATTTGAGTCGATGTACTCAGAAAATTATTTACAAAGGGAACAGTAATTATTAATCCACGAAAAACTTAATTACATACTGTAGCCTAATTTCCTACGCACATTTTGTTTATGTACTTGATTGCAATGGCCGGTCACGGTAGCCGAGCGGTCTAAGGCATGCACTCTCTTCGCTCGCTTGGAAACCGGAATCGTGGGTTCGAATCCCACTCAGGGCATGGATGTTTAGTTTGTGTGTGTGCGTTTTCCTGTGTTTGTGTACAGGTAGAAGCCTTGCGACGAGCTGATCACCCGCCCAAGGAGTCCTATCGAATGTGTAAGATCTAGAAAAACCGAAGTGAACGGAGAAGTTCATGGAGGTAGGCCTAGGCCCACTGGGGCTGTAGTGCCAAGGGGGGAAAAAAACTTGATTGCAATGGGAGGTTACACTGAAGAATCTTTCAACGGTGTCGAATAGCTTCTTCATAACAAGCATATCCTGACAAAGGCCAGCGCTTTATGCGAGCGATGACGTCTACAGCTAATAAACACAATGGCGAGGTCGCATAGCAACACGTTCTGTTGAAAGAATATTTCGTTTCTTTCCACACAAAATATCGCCTTCCTTGGTATACACCAATACCGACCCAATGGCTTTCTTATTAACAATTTCTATTTCAGTTTCATGGAAAGTCTGACACAAACAAGCTTTGATTCTACGTCGACTGTAGTTTTCCTTTTCAAACGAGAAAAATCCGGTTTAAAATTAATCTAATGGTAGCATCAGACTAATTCCTCTTCTATTCCTGTTGCTCCCACTGGAGAACAGGGCATCCGTGAAACGCTTTGTTTCACTTCTGTTTCTTAATTTGAGTCAATCGGTAGAACCTCTTGGACAGGGGATCAGCCCGTCGCAAGTCCACCACCACATACATGCCTTGAATGGAATTCGAATCCACGATCCCAGCGTTCGAGCGGGCGAAGAATGTTCATGCCTTAGACCGCGCGGCCACTGTGATTGGCTCCTCACACTGTTACATGATTCAGAATTACTGTGGAATAGGGGTAAAGCCAAAAAGCGAGTCCAGAAATGTGAGATTATACAGGGTGATTCACGAAGTTTTACACCGGCTTATGGTGTTCTCATTACGCCGGTCATGGTAGCCGAGCGGTCTAAGGCATGTACTGTCTTCGCTAGCTCGGCAGCCGGGATCGTGGGTTCGAATCCCACTTAGGGCATGGATGTTTGTGTGCGTTTTTCTGTGTTTGTGTACAGGTAGAGGCCTTACGACGAGCTGATCACCCGCCCAAGGAGTCCTACCGTATGTGTAAGATCTAGAAAAACCAAGTGAACGGAGAAGTCCATGGAGGTAGGCCTAGGCCCAGTGGGGCTGTAGTGCCAAGGGGAAAAAATGTTCTCATTACGTCTTCAAATTAGAGCACTTAGTAAAAGTGGAGGGGGTGGGTGATGGAAAACTTCTGTATAAGTGCCAGAACTAGCTCTTTTTTTCGCCCAGTGTTATTGGTCACTTTTTTAAAACAGTCGGAGTTATGTAAGAACCGCTTCATTGCCCCTGTCGAGTCACCATGCACCCGTCCACCCGAGTCGCAAAGGAACAGCCAGGGTCATAATCCAATATCATCTCAATCATACAACTTTCATATTACACTCATGTTCCCGAAACCGGGTTTGCTCAGGTAGCAGGCTTTACCCGAAGCTCCAAGGAACGAAATATTTACTTCAAGTTTCGGGGGTGCTAAAAAGAATGTCATTTCAGAATTTTCTAACTAAAGACTCCAAGAAATGTTAATTTTCTTCCATTTTTATGTTGACATCATTACTACAGCATACGACAGTTCAAGGTAATTTTAGAATATGTTAGTATAACGTTTGCTGATAACTCATGGACAAAAACAAAACTGCTGGTGTGATTCAAGTTGTTACAGAACATTTTTCAGTTATATTGGTAAATACCCGAAGCGCACACAGGTCCGCGAGTTGAACGTGGCTTTCCAAGTACCGTATGGTTATGATTACATAATAAAATTCTGCAGGCAGCAAGCAGAGGTCATAAAGAATCATGAAAATGCAAATGCTCGCGACATGGGAAAATGTGAAGCCCGACACAGAAAATATAAAAGGCTTTTGCTTGGCGACGGTCAAGCGTATGACCGTTCAAGTGACTATGCAGCCGTTGTAATATGAGCTACATGAGATAGAACATGATCTGCTGGGCCAAGTGTTATGTTTATTGTACATATATATATATATGCTAGAGTTACATGTAAAAACGTGTAAATATTAGGCATCCACAAGATACAAAACTCTTGAAAACCGTGTACAATGCCGTTACGTAAAATTGTAAATGTAGACAAGTACTACTGATTTTTACAGCGGTAAACATGACTGCGCTGGGAAGGGGCATCATCAATTGCGAACGACAGACCCGTCCTCTCGTCAGAGAGGGCGCCTCACATGAACAAACCCGCAACGGTCTAACAATAATAAAAATTTGGTATTGGGTCGCAGATGCGACTCGACACCACGTAAGATTAACTTTGACTTTGACCTTGTCTTGTATCCTAGTAAATTGTATCACTTGAGAAAAAGATAGCTACAAACATTGGATTCCAGGTTTCTGGGAGGTTACTTAAAGTAATTTGGTAGATTAGATCCTCCGAAACGTCGATGTCTAACACGAAGACGGTAATCTGCATAGTCAACGTCAAAAGAAACTCAAATCTAACAAAAGAACTTGGTATTTACGTTCCGTACAAACTATATTACACGAGTTTGAATTTTAAACTTTGCAGAAACCAAAATATCTCACATGCAAAAACATATTCAGAACAAATGCGATTTTCATCACAATCTAACATTTATGACTGAAATAATATGCAGTCATTATAAGAAGCTTAAATATTTATAATACACTTACCGGTCATAAGAATACTGGAGTCAGTTCCTTTGCGATCTCAAAAGTCCATCCGCTAGCGTTGTCAGTACCCATTTGACTCTTCAAACACTTTTTATGTTACTTTCATTTTCATTAACTTCGCAGAACAAAACTTTAACTGCTCTACTCCGTTACGAAACGACACTCTTCGCGAACAAATCGTTTTCGATACATGGCTATGTCAGTGAAACATGTGCGCCTGCCTTGATCTTGAGCGATCTTGAGCGCTACGCCAAGCACTAAACTCTCTTCCACGATACACGGTTTAACATTTTAATTCTGCTTCCAATAGTCTAGAAAGTAGAAACCAGGAAGCGACGCAAACCCAACAGTTATTTGATGTTTCTGGCGCCGTTGCTACGGACAACTGTAGGCAAGAGACTGCTTCTGAACATCACGCATGAGCTGAAATTTCAAACCGAAGGAGGGCGGAGCGTTACTTCTACACTCTTTTCGTTTGCGGTTGTAGTTTCGTTACGACATTCTGTTACTCTGCCAGGCTTAAACAGTTCAAAGAAATTTTGTACTCGAGCGCTTACGGGTGGAAAGAACAGTTAGTCATAACAATCTGCTCTTTCAGTACTTATGATTGTAAAAGGGTTCTTTATTTTATATTGGCTATTGGCATTATAAAAAAAGTTGACACTAACTTCGCCGACAAGCAGCGGTCCCTTGGTCAACATAGTTCGCTTGCGGACTCAAGCCACGGAATTTGTTTTATTTTTGTATTGGCAGTATGAAGTATAGATATATTCATTTAGGAATTTAAAATTTAAAATAGTGTAGTTGCAACAAAGCAAATCTATATTCAAGTTTGTATTTCAGGTGCCTTCAAAGAGTGATGCATGTGGACATGCTTGTTGCGAATTCTGCCGTCTTTATGACTGCCAGTTCAGAATGTAGCGCGCACAACCGCTGCTATGCAATGACTGCGAGATAGGCAAATATACAACAGCCGTTTCTGAGCAATGACTCAGTAAACACGTTCCCGCGGAAACAAATATCCATGCAACAATGCACCAACTGTTGGAAAAGCGGTCTTTTCTATGTAGTCCGTGCCGAGATGTTATGAGCAGGGCAGTTTGAAGAAACGAGTTCAACGGTGTGGAGTCGAGGTCGAATACCTCCACCGTAGCCCTGCGAATCGTAGGAGACAACAAAAAGAGAACCCAGTGCCTGGGGGTATAACTGGGCCACCCTGTCCCCGAGGAATATAAATAATTGGACCTAGCCCTCCAGGTTGGGGGAATGTCGAATCTGAAAACGGTAAAATGTGGTCATGAGCGCCGCGGGACTCGGACATGAGAATGACTACGCTGACGCGGGCCAGCAGCAATTGTGAACGAGAGACTTATCCTCTCGTCAGAGAGGATGTTACGTAAGCATTATGACTGCAAGTGTTTCGTTGAAAAAACACTGGTCATGAGTCTCGTGGTACTTGTGGCCAAGACAAACTGATTGTCGGTAAACCGCCAGTCGTTAAGTAACTCTCACTCTGACTCTAACATCGAGTTCATTTTATAAGAGTTCTATATGTGAGGGAGGCTGTGAAGATTTAGTTGCAAAAGTGCGGCTGAGAAAAGACTTTATATATGATATCTGGAGTGGGTAATTCACCGAGACTGTTAAGTTCCTGTGTTGCCAAGAAACGGCTGATGGAGACTGTAATAGACTGAGGACGCTAGTCTGTGTGTGTCAGTGATCTGTAAAGTGTACTTACGAGTCGTGTGTTAACGTGGTCGATAAATCCAAGAACCAATCCAAACCCCCTTCCGTAGTCACCCCTAAATCTTGACAATACATTCTGATAATGATTGTGTAAGGTTGGCTAACGTGTGAGAGTTGCCAACTGCATTTACTTAGAGGTCGCACATTTGGAGAAGTCCATCATGTTTGATGAAAATTATTACAGTCCTCGAATACCTTATGAATTTGTACGGAAACAGAATTAACAATTTATGAACTGGTTATATTTTAAACAACATTGTCCATTAAATTATTTAGAACTTTTGAATCCCCCAAGCAGATGACTCATATGGACATGGCCTTGGTGACACGGAAGCCAAAATGGTGATCACGTATAGGTGTGTGGAATGAATACAACGCTATTCAGTAGAACTACAGCGCAGTAAAGGTCGTGCGGGTTCTTGGGCGTGTGAATCTAGTCAGTAAAGGTAGGTGTTACGTTCCGTAACCCGTGTCTGCGGTTGTAGAGGTTAACAGAACTGAAAATCTCTACCAGGAAACCTAACCTGACGAAGACGTGGTAATATTTTCAATATTAAACATCAAAATGCCAGCAATCGGACCGGTTTACCAACCTACAACGGTTACATATGAGCAACAGAATGATTGGACACCTATCAGTAACTGGTTTCAATTTCCGTTTCCTAATGGTTCTATTCGAACAAGATTTATCCAGTGGGCTTTACTTATTCTTGGCCTGGTCGCGTTAGCTGCTGGTCTTGTAATGATTATAGAAGGATCTGTGGATTTGTATGACACAAAACAACATGATACAGAAGTTGGTGAGACTCCGAATAGTGATGCAGAGTCAGCAGGTGATATTGTTATCGTGATTGTGGGGGTAATAGTAGTGCTGTTGTGCATTTTGTCATTTGGTCTTTATGCCCGCATGATTTGGAGAACAAAAGGATGCCCATGTTTCCCAAGTAAAGAACAGAGGCTTGCAAGACAGCTAGATAATCAAGTTGGAAATGGACAGGTAAGAGTTTTGAATTAAAATATTTCTGTTTTATGTCATGCTAAAAATTGTCTATGTTATCTATGAAATATATGTTACTTGTGTTAAACGTGACATATCAGTTGTTATGACAGTATAGTATAAATAAATGATGATGTAGTTATAATGGGATCATATAAAACGGGTTTTTTCTGAAGGGTAAAACCTTTTTACATTATTGTAATGTCCATAGGTTTAAACTTTGATGACACGTCAACCTTGGCAGGTTGAAATATATATAATCAGTAATCTGATTTCTGTGCCATGGCTTGTGAAATATCATTTTATGTTTATATGAATAAAATTCTTGCATATCCAATTTGCTGATGACCAGAACTCAATCATGTTTTGTATTAAATAGAAGTTAAGGAAGAGTTATTTTCAGAAGATGATATTCTTTTGAATTTTCTCAGAATATGTAGTTAAACCAAAAAATCCATGCGTTATAATAATGAGTTGGGTGATCATGTAAATGTAACTTTGAGGTCTAAGCCCAGTTACACCACCTATCATTGTCTTTGTAAATATGTAGTGTACCTCATACAGTTAAATCTGGTTACATACTCAACATTATCTCTTACATCATCATCATCATCATCATGGATTAGGCATGTGCATACCCCCTTTCTGTCTCCTTAAAGAGCATGTTTGTTTTAATATTTGGTGTAACACACTTCCTCGTGGTCAGTATGTTCAAATCTGTCTAGGGATATATCCAGCATCCACTTGTAAAACATGAATTTTCCATTCAGACTTTATTGGACCAAGGATGAATGATGTGTAGTCATCATGAATTTGTAATATGTGACATGTTTTATATCCAGCCCTACGGGGAGATGATTGGATCCATGAAATGATAAATAAATGTAAATGTAACTGGTATGCTTCAAATTTTTATCACCCAAATTAAAAATTCCCAGCCCATCTTTAATTTTTATATTTCTAATTCACTTCACTGCACTTCTTACAAATGTAATTTCAGTGGTTTCCATACATTTTCCAATCTTCATGACCAAGTCCCTGCTCTGAATCTACATGTGAGCTTTGGTTCTACCATAACTTTATGAAATTGAATTTGTCTGTCTCTGTTTGTTTGGAAAATGTTTCAAATTCATAATTGCAGTTTCATACACATTTTACCAAAGCAGTTGAAGTCATGAAACTTCCTACAGAAATCGTTAATTCTGTCTCATGTAAATGTTAGTAACATGTTGTATTGAGCCATGTAATGAGATCCTTACTTCTGTCTCATGTAACCATTCGTAACATGTTGTATTGATTGATTGATTTATTTATTTATTTATTTCGTCACTGTAGATCATTGTTCATGATATAGGACAAGTCAAGTTAATTCTGAATATTAACAATTTAATATATGAGTAAGATTAAAATTACAATAGTTAACAATTGTTTACAGTTGATTACAATTTAAAATTAGTTAGATATTCTTATTTGTGGAGAATTTGATGGAATGAAGATTGGCAGGGGAAACCGAAGTACTTGGAGGAAACCTGCCCCAGTGCCACTTTGTCCATCACAAATCCCACTTGCCCAGATCGCAGTGGTGGGAAGCCAGCGACTAATCGCTTAAGCTATGGCGTGGCCTTAGAATAATTGTATTGAGCCATGTAATGAGATCCTTACTTCTGTCTCATGTAACCATTCGTAACATGTTGTATTGAGCCATGTAATGATATCCTTACTTCTGTCTCCTGTAACCATTCATTGTATTGAGCCACGTAACGAAATCCTTACGTCTTGTCTCATGTAACCATTCATAAGATGTATTGAGCCACGTAATGAAATCCTTACTTCTTGTCTCATGTAACCATTCATAACATGTATTGAGCCACGTAATGAAATCCTTACTTCTTGTCTCATGTAACCATTCATAACATGTATTGAGCCATGTAATATGATTACTGAGCTGAGAATTGTGAGAAGCCTCCATATGATGCAGATCTGCTTGGGACAAGAGTGAGCTCACACTCATTACATTTGTAATGAAAGGTTGAAAAAATATGTGTATTAGCTTTGCCATGTCCTTCTGCATGCTGGTAACAACTCAAGAAACCTGAACAGACATTCACAGAATTTGGTATAGGGAAGTTTAACAAAAATTTGTTGTAAATTCTAATTGTAGTTGAAACTGGAAAACAATAACAAACACTTGGCATGAGGCTGACATAAATTCATCTGCATCTCTGAGTGTAACTTACTAAATATTTATGGGAGCAAAAAATATTTCCAACAAAGGTTGTAGGGAGAAAGAAAACACCTTATTCCTAAAAAACACACTTTCCTTTAATGGTTATCAAACTTTTTAAATGAAAATGATTTTTGTACTATGTTCACTTTTCCTAGCACGTTACATTTTTGTATACCAATATTTAGTCTCTGCTTGTGAAATATGTAACAGAAAATATTACTGTGGGTTAAATTTTCTTGGTGTTTTCCCTTCTACAGCACTGACATTGTGTTACAGATTTTGACTCTGAACCCATCTACAGATCTCCTTGTGACAGCTCAGTATGCTCCCGTGTCAGAAGTTTCATACCATCCTCCCACTGTCTCCGAGGAAGAGGAGACTCGGAAGTTGATGGGGAGTGACAACAAAGAATGGTAATTATAAGCATTAACTTATGATATTTGAGATTTGCTAATAAATAAATTAGTGTAATGTATGCGCATAGAGTGCAAAACATGGTCATTTGATTTGCATTGGTGACTTAAATTTGTACAAGCCCAACTTTCTGTTTGTCATTTCACTGAAACAGAATTCACTCTCATGGAGCTGAGCCCTTCTTGAGAAGCCACCAATTGTGCAGCTACTTGAGAACTTCCAAGCATTTTATGGAACCCGAAGGTTCATCACTGTATTCACAAGAGCCCTCCACTGGTTCCTATACATACCATCACATCCCATCTTTCTATGATCCATATTAATATTGTCCACCCACCTACTGAAACAAAATTAAATCGATAAATGCTAGCTGCTGTTGCCCGGAGTATGGTAATTATTTTTATGGGGTATTCTAAAATACTGATTAACAAATCTATGTATGTAAGATTTGAGGCTTTCACGGCAGTGACTATGAAGAAAGCAGTCTTCTGGGATTTGGCACCGTGTATATGTGGTGTTAACCGACGTTTCGGAGGAACGTATCGCCTCCATCTTCAGGGTAGAAGAAAAAAATATATATATATAAGAAATCTGCAAGCGAAGAGACCATGAGTACCCTGAAGATGGAGGCGATACGTTCCTCCAAAACGTCGGTTAACACCACATATACACGGTGCCAAATGCCAGAAGACTGCTTTCTTCAAATCTATGTATCATTATATAAGTTGTAAAATAAAGTCCACCTACTCCACGAAGCAGGGTACATTTGAAGTTGTGTAGGCAACCTTATGGAAGGGAAGTCTTGTGCATGTATGTTTAAATTTCCCAGTGGTGTATGAATACCAGCTTTGTGTTGAAAATAGAATCTGGTAACTTTCTAATGATGGCATACATTTTTGTGTCATGTCAGTCCAGAGGGGGATAGTTGAACCCATGTAACCCTTCTAAAATTGACCTTCATGCCAATTGAACTTCTGGAATAACAGTTTAGTACCTCATTCATCAACCGCTAAGTTTTTCAGTGTTATACATGGAAACCGCTTTCACCTAGCAAGAAACGGTATTTTTAACAGATTCTGTATAATGTTTCTATATGTACCATGGTAGTTTATCAGGAAATCATGTATTGATTAAATAGATTTGTGTCGTGAATAAATTATAAAAATGGATTTCTGTTTTGATATGTCGAGTGCCACGTTTATATGCTGAAGAGAGTCATATGATGTCTGCTGATACAAGTGTTTTGTTCTTGTTTAGTTGTATGGATCAACCCCATTATCAGCGAAATGTTGCAGTTATTAGCAGAACTGCTTCATATTCAGAAAGTCCTGGGTTCATATTTCAGCCCAGAAACCAACTGTTATGAGTTTCTTTCTATGGTCTTCCTCATTCTATCTAGGCATATCCTGGAATATAATCTTGAATTAAGCTGTGACCCCTTCAAGTCATAATCAATAAATCACTCGCTCCCAAACCATGTTTCAGCAAAACTGTTGTGCTCCGTCATGGAAACCGAGTAACAGGTGTTTTTTTTTTCCAGTATCTGAAAAAATAAATGCATAACATTTTCTCAGCTTTACATATGTTGCAATCTCTTATATAAATTTTATTTTTGATTATGTGTGATTGCTTTTATTGTTGTTGCCGCTGATGTGTTATTGTTCTCATCATTTGGTATGTGCAGACCATGATGTGACTTATTTTCAGCTACTACTAATGATTCTAGTTCAAGTAATGGCATAAAAATAAATTTTCCAAGCCATTCTGCAGAGAACTACATGATGTCCAGGTGCCCCTCAAACTAAAAAAGTTTAGGGGCCACTACACTAAATTAATTGGACATTCAGTGTATATAAACAAAAGTATTGTTTAAATAAACCAGGAACAAATAATTAGTGTTTAATGTGAAAACAGGTATTACATGAATTCATATTTTGTTTCACAGCATAAAATATAAGTTCTCCAGTTGTCTTCTCTTTGTTTACATGTAATAATTAAAACTGACACCATTCATATTGGTAAGACACTTACTCTTTGCAGTATATTCACGCTGACAAATGTGCAGCTCAAATAACATAGTCAGTGCTTGCTGTACGATTTCCAATCACAGGAATGTGTGGCTAATCTGGTATTTGCATTCATTTGTTGACCTTGGACCTTTTCGTAGAAAGACGTAACAGTTAATTGATGCTGCAGCCTTGGCTTGTATCAGTGTGTAACAACTCAGTCAATTCCTTTTTGCGATAAATTATGCACATTTCAATTTCTAATAATATTAGTGTCTCTGAAGTCTGTTTTGTTAGTTTTATAATAGACTCCATACACAGCAAGAAAGTTAAAATTTTGCTAATTCCACAGATAAAAGGAGCTCAGCTGTGTAATTCCAAACTTTTAGATGATAGTGAACCTACTGACATAACCAGATGCTGAGTTATACTGATCTGTAATAGTAACATAGAAAACACTTCTCTCTGAGCAGATTTTATGTCATTTCATATTGAAACTAAACAGTATTTTTAATTCAGAAATTTACTTTTGGAGCTTGTCAGGCAGACAAGGTTGTTGCTTTATTCGAAGTCAAAATAATTTACTTTGTACTTCATAATATAGCTATTATGTATCAGAGATGTAAATATTTTACATTTATCAAAGCTTGTACTGTAATAGTCTGCACACATGCCTTGTATTTGAAATATGACTGTGGTTATTATGGTTTCAATTCTGCATCTAAAAATGTGACTCTACCATTAGACAACGGGAACAGCTTCATAATTTATACCTGTGTCACCCTGGTACTTTTGTTAGTAGGATTCCACAACTGCTAACACTAGAACATTTGTGATGGTAAGGTAAAAGGCAAAGCTGTCCCCTTGCTTAATTAATTAAGCACCACATCATGAAGACGTATAAAGAAGTGGAAGTATAGCTCCACTCATTATTAATCTCAGCACTAGATGGAAGTGTGTCAAATCCACGCCCCAGCCACTTTACCCCGGGGGGAAAGAGCAGAAATCATATAGCCCGTAGTTTGTGCAGTTTTTTATGCTGAATGTGGAAACATGAAAGTTAACATTGCTAATATACTAATTTTGTTTTGTTTCTTTTCTCCCTTCTCTTTTTATGCTGTCAGATAAATCATATAGTAAATTGAGATCAGTCAGAGATACTGTGATCCTAGTAGTGAATAGGTGAGTAGCAAACTGTTTTGAATAACATGCTTACTAACATCTGAATATGTATGCATCTGCTTGCATGTGTTTGTTTCAGTGTTGAAGAGAGTGAACGCATGCTTGAATCAGACCCACGCATTGTACTGAGACCGCGTAGCCACGTTGAAGAAGCCTAAACAGATTAGAGGTACATAGTTTTATACATACTAAATTTGGAAAAAGAGATTAAATTGTTCTAATATCAAGGAAAGAGAGAGCATATGTGTGCCTACGCCTGTATGGTAATAACGCCATTTTGCTTTTTTTTAAATTCATGTAAAGATATTATAAATCACTGTACATCTCTGAAATTGTGAAGATTGGTTATTTCTTATGTGTAGTTTGAAAGTTGTGACTGAGTAGCTAAATTAGTGGCATTTTTTCCCCTCTATATCCTATATAAAATATTGCATTGATTTCATATCTGTGAATTTATGTATATGTTGGTAACATAGAACATCACTTTGATGGCTTCTGTGAAGAAAATATATTAAAATATTTATCTGCATATTGTCTGCTATATTAAAGTGCAAGGGACATGAATTTGAAGACAGTTCTACAAAGAAATAATGCATTGGGAGAGCAAAGTTATGTCAAACAGGAATAAAATAATCACTGAAACTTCCATTCAGAAATTGTTACAGGGATGACAATTATAACAGCCATTAAAGTTGCAGTGGATATGCCTCAAGCAGTCATGGATAGTAAGAAATGGGCTTTGTCTTTATATTTAAGTAGCAGAGAAAATTTAATTCACTGCATTATATTTGAGCAAATAGAGTATATGTAATTTGAGTGGCTGCAGTTTGACCATTCTCAGAAGCTGCCACTGAACTAAAGTAATCTTAACAACACTTTTTAACAAGTTGACAGAAATTGGATGGTAGATCGCTACAAGCTGTTCAGTTATAATGCGTAAATATGGATTAAAATATATTAATATCATCTAAGTGAGAGCAACCAGGGCCTCAACAAAATGGATATAGAGTCCACAGATTTTATTGTGACATTTCCTTCTCTGAAATCACTAAAAGGTAGTTTGTATTATTATTATTATGATAAATAAGAACAAAGAAAGCCATAACCTAAGCGGCCTCCGTAGTCTAGAGGTAATATTCCCACCTCATGACTCGTGGTACGCGGGTTCAAATACCCAGCGGAGGTCGTCGAATTTTTAAGTGCGGAAAATTTCAGGGAACAAGTCCTCCAGGAGGGACTTTAAGCTGTGTGTCCCGTGTCGTAACTTTACGGAATGTAAAAGAACCTCATATCTCCAAAGGAGATCACTGAGCCAAATTCAAGGACGTTTCCTGCCCAACAGCAGTCTCTAAGGCCTCTGATAGTTGGGGGAAGCATTATAGATACAGCCAAGCCAGTTGAGAACTCACTGGCTTGGTCGGGACTGATGGTACGCACCATTATCGGTAGGGTATAGAGACTGGTACAATATCATAGAGGGAAACACAGTTGACCAATACTGGTCTAAGTGAATGGGGAAACCCACCCTCTCCAATAACTAACTAACTAAGCCATAACCTAAATTTGTTGTTATTGATAGGGGCCTACACATTTTGATTGTTCTGGGGCCCCCATCACAGATCCCTAGATTCTCATATAAACAAAATAAGCATAATTTACAACGTATCTGTAAGAAATCTACGCTGAAAATGAAAGCAGCAGTTTATTGTAAAGTGTTAGCTGTTACTAATAATGAATAATTTTGAATTTGTTGTTTTGAATTTCTCCATGCTTTTACAAATATCTGATTTAAAAAAAATAATCACCCTAGATAATTTATTTTAAACCTATTAAGAGTGAAAACTGTTCTGGGTTTTGAACAGATTTTGTTATATATTTATGGTTAACATTTTTAATGGAGCATCATTCCAGAATTCATACAGTGAGATACTTGCGGCCTGCTACATGCAAGTGAGGTAATGTTTGTGTAAATACTTCTTGTCATATCGGTCTATGTGGAGGCTTGATCAGTCAACAGATTATCATAACTTCTCAAAAAATAAGAATTTGCTTCATCACATGCAAGCAAATAGACTGAGCTCTAAATCTGCAGCAATTTATACTTCTTTACATTATACAATATTCTTATTCGTCTGTTTTCAGTGTCATTCCAAGAATCCCCAGCATTGTATCCATTAAACGCAAAGCATCCAGCAGTTCTGCTAGACTGCCGGCACCTTTAGCAGGTGTTGAAGAAATCACCCCATCTCTACGCTCATCTTTTGCCAGTGTCTACTATAATATAACACCTTATGAATCCATGTCATCATCAATTCATTCAGCCAGCAGCAATTCAGATTAATGCAAAGTTGTTTCTGATTTCAGTTAACAGTAGGATTATTCTCTTAATAAATTAGCAGTGTTTTTGGATATAGACCTATAACATTTCTATGGTGGGATGAGAGTGAATCGGCTACATTTTAGATTGGGAGCGTTTTACTGAAATAATATCTGATGATATATGAAAAGATACAGAATGCCCACAAAGCTAAAATTTTTAATTACTAACAGAATAGTTCACTACCATGAAACTTATTTAATTGTGAACGTTTTTGTGTGCTTGACTGCCCATTGACACCTTCGATATAAGCGCAGTTTGTGGCGCAAACTGTTTCAGTATGAACATGAACTACATGCTGCCGTGAAGCTCCAAGCCCGTTTGTTGTATTTGTTTGATTACGTCAACTGGAATAATTAAATGCTTCCGCCCTTGCAATCAACAATTATTATGAAATGGACCCTCATTAAATTATTTACTGTTAAGGGTATTAATTACTGCACAAGTTACATTAATAACTCTGCATATAAATTCATCTAACCAATAGTCCACCAACCAGTTTGACAGAAATCAAAATAAACTTTTAATGTAAACTTAATTAAAAAAACACCCCAATGCCGTCGTCTTAGTTCACCGTTTTTTTCCTGCTTCTTTTATTAAGTTGGTTATTTAATGATGTGAGCATCAGGACTATAGCGTTGGGTTTTGTGTGGTGATATAGTTCTTTTTCTGTCCCCCCTCCTTGGCACTACAGCCCCAGTGGGCCTAGGCCTACCTCCATGAACTTCTCCGTTCACTTCGGTTTTTCTAGATCTTACACATACGGTAGGACTCCTTGGGTGGGTGATCAGCTCGTCGCAAGGTCTCTACCTGTACACAAACACAGCAAAACGCACACACACAAACTAAACATCCATGCCCTGAGTGGGATTCGAAGCCACGATCCAAGTTTCCAAGCGAGCGAAGACAGTACATGCCTAAGACCGCTTGGCTACTGTGACCAGCGGTGATTGTAGTTTACTTTCTTTCTGTTGTAACAGTTATTTTGAATCTTTGGTCACCCTGATGTATGTATTTTAATTTTTCACCATGCAAGCCCTATCACCTTGAGACCCACCTAATCTGTGAACATTCAGAGAAAGCGGCGCAATATTGGCTTCAGCATTATTTCTGGCCTACTTGAACCACACAAAAATAATTTTTTGCAAATTCAGTTTATGGCCTACCAAGGTGAATTCTTTTCAGTTCCCATCACATTTTCCAAACTGCTGCAGTTTTCAATTACTTCTTTATTTTGTCAAAGGGTTTTCCACGTGTAAAACTGTCAGGTCAAACTCAAAGGAATTTTCTTGGAAAGTTACATAGCAAGACTGTAGGGTAGTATATAATCTGTGTTATACTTTGCTTACAATAAAATAACTGTAGTATGTATGGCATGTAGTAGAAGGAACACATTCATCTGGTCACTTACTTACACTTGCGTTTGACTGTCTTCTAACTGGTATTCATCAGAATTGCCAGGATTCACTGAGCTTTAAACATGAAAACAATTTCATGTGATACTTATCATCCAAGACAGATCAGTCACTGAATACAGCACATACATCAAGACAGTTTGCTTGCATTTATAAGATATTCTTCATAAATCTGTAAAACATAAACTTATATTCTAACATGCCCTAACCATTTATGTGAAGCTAAAGTCCATTGTTTACCTGGGACAGGCTTCTTGTTTGGATTAAATGAGTTTGACCTCAGTATTTCAAAGAATTTTATACAGTAAGGTTTACTTGAACCTGTAATTTCCAGCAATACCACAAGTTTGTTTGTATTCTATATCTATGAACCATAATATCAAGCCAAAATGAAAGAGATGTTTCAAGTATTGTATGAAGGTTCATAGTAACAGCAAAGGCATGCAGCATGTGCAGAAGTTTGGGATTTTGTATTACAGTAGAAGACAGATTATCCAAATTAATTAGTTAACAGATGTGGTGTGGATAATTGAAAATTTGAATAACTGGATTAAATTCTTATCCATGAAAAAATGCTGTTATGACGCTACTAAATTGTATTATACTATTATAACAACAAAATCAAAAATTGAAACAGGTGAAATGCAAAAATTAATAAATGTAATAATAAATTAACATTTTGAAACATTATTTGAAAGAGTCCAGCATTGGTGTTTGTTTAGCAAACGGAACTCATTTGCCAGCTGATAAGTCTTGCAAGCATTCGTTAGTCGTGCTGATTCAGATAATTGGCATTCTACTATAATAATGTTGCTACAGAATTAAAATAATTACTGTAATATCACAATACTCAAAAAGATAACACTTATCCTGTAATAAGATAAACTACATTTCAGAAAAGTAGGGTCATTTTTACCATTCTAATTTGTCCCCATACTTGAAAATGCTTCTAATAATGAACATAATATGTAATGTGTTCGAGAGAAATGTAAATACAAAGGGTAATATGCAAAGTCTTAAACAAATTAGAAGGAAGTCAAACTGTATGCATTTTGTAGGATCTGAAGCTTCCACGGCAGCTAAAGTTAATACATTCTTCTCAGACTATCAGCCATGTTGACTGATTAAAAATCACGTCACATCAGACCCTGCTGATGGGGACAGAGATGGTTCCTGAAATGTCAGTGATATTTAACCAGCTGACATGGCTGATAGCGCAAGAAGATTTTGTACACACTTTTATTTCTGTAGTTTTTTGGACACTTATCACAGCTGAGCTTATATTAGTATTTTTAATTGGAATGAACTGGCACATATAATTTCTTATGTTTATTATCTACATACTTTGTCATAATCTTTATTTTTTAATTTAAGAATATTATGTATACTGTGGTTTATGTTTTACCTATATGAAAGTGTATTGGGTAGCTATATTCTGTTCTTCACGTCTGGGCCCAGACAGTGGTGTAACATGAGTGTTCTAGGTTAGAGGATTCTTCCCAGGCTTAACCAAAAATGTATACACCCCGAATGAGTCAAGGCATGTACTCCAGATTTTTAAATCTTGTTATAGACTGCAGTGATTGTATTCTTTCTATTCCATTGGTCAGTTATAATGTATGTTTATATAATTATTGGTTAAATTTGGGACAGATATTTTTCATGCCTTGGTACTTGGAATGTTCAAATTACAAATGGCTTATATAAATATGTGAAGTATGAGGAGCCAGGATAGTGTAGTCCGTATAGCAACTGGCTACAGGCCGGATGACTTGGGTCAGAGTTTGAGTCCCAGTAGGGTCAAGAATTTTCTCTTCTTCAGACCAGCTCTGGGGTCCACCCAACCTCATATACAATTGGTACCAGGACTCTTTCCCCGGGGGGTAAAGCTGCTGGGACGTGAAGCTGACCACTCCCCTCCAGTTAGTGGCAAGGACAAGAAAATGTGGATCTATACATCCACTCCCCCATACATCTTAATGGCATAGTGCTTAATTAATTAAGAACAGGGACAACTTTACCTTTTTAAGTGTAATGTGTTGTTTTACAATTATGTAAGATGATATGTCTTTTATTTTATTTAAATATTGGAATAGAAGACATTGTGGGAACTGCCCACATTCAAGCAAATGTTACAGTGACAATGCAAGTATCATTGCTTAGCAGCGGCAAGTAAACAGCTGTGACAGTCAAATAGTCAACAGTATGTTCAAATTTAAATCAAATTAGTAAAATTGTGAGCCCTACAATGAAAAGCAAAATAAATGCTAAAATTTTGTTTGTTAATTGAAGTTTTGTAGAACCATTTAATGTCAATTAATGAGGGATGATGGTATATGGTTTCCATTTTGTAAGTGACAGTTATACCATTCAATGCAATATAACTAAATGTAATTATACGACTTACAGAGTGCTGTCCTCTGACATGTCATGCCCCTGAAAGTTCACAAACCTCTACCAGACCATGTAGCATCACAACACAGAAAATAATGCTCTGCACAGAAGATTGTCAGATCTCTTCTTTTGAATAAAACAGGAGTTCTCAAACAAAAAATAAAGCTTCCCACAATTCTGACCAATCTTCTGTCAAGCAAGTGTACACAGTCCCACTACAAGTTAACAGTATTGGAAAGTGTCCCTCAGTCTTGTCTATGCAGTATATTTATTTCACATTTCAGCATTTACTGCATCACAGATAATCCACACAGAAAATGAAGTTACTGTTATTCCATCCTTTGCTGACAACTCTTTGGATGATAATTTCTCCCCTTGCTTAATACATGAAACAGTGGGCCTACAAGCACTGGACTTACACTTGTGTGGATATATATGTATATACTGATGTTTGTATTTTTTATACACAATATTATCAGTTTCATTGGGTGAAGGGCAAGGGTTGTGCATGAGGACTGTTTTCATGGTTTGTTGTATACAGCAGCTGAAGAAGTTTGGAGCTTGAGTCCAGGCTAATATTTCAGTACTAGCATTTAGTAATATTTACAATAACTGTATAACAGAAAAAGACCACAGAGATGATAGGAAAGTGCCAAATATTTCACCTACTTTGTCAAGAGTGAGAAATTTTTGAAGAAATTTCTTTGTCCGGTCTTTTCTCATTTAATGTGATGGGCAGTCCTCAGAAACATCAAAAGTGGAATAAGCTCTGCCATAGCTCATGCACTTCTCACCATGGAGTCTTAAGTTCAATCACAGATGACTTCATTCAAGATTCAGAGTGGGTGAAGTGGCAGTGCAGTAGAATTTTGAGTTTCTTGAGTTTTCTGCTACTATGACCATTCCTCAACATTGCTCCATACTTACATCTCACCATATCACAGTGTGCGCAATGGCCTGACCAGGGAGCTCATTATCATATCCCCAGTCTTTAACTTGGATGTTTCATCTTTGACCCATCACTTGTTTGGTTACAGAGTAAGGAAGGAAGTGTATGCATTCTGGTCCCAGGAACTGACATGGAAAGCTAGGCACATCAAGTCGAGAACCAGCAGTGGTGTGTATCAATGAGTTGTGACAGTACAGTACAGTCAGTTCCCTGTTCCATTGTCTCTGCAGTACTGTACATTTACAGTATCATTTACTGTATCACTTCCAAAGCCAACCTGAAAACATCAGTAATGAGTATCAGTGGAGTGCATTAATTAGTTAGGTGACAGCGTACAGAAACAGAGTCCTTAATCCTACATAGGGATTTGCTCCATGGGATATGGAACAGCGGACCATGTAAAACAGTCCTCATAGCTTCTCTATATGAGAATATTTTGGAAATATAACTAATGACATGTATCAATAAGATATGTAATGCCTTCCAGGGCAAAAATATTCAGATTTTGTACTTTAAATTATTCCTTAAGTTAGGTATAATAAACATAGCTCTCTCTTAGGAAAGTTATAATGTATTCTTGCTTAGTATTAGGTTACTGTGTACCCCTGCATATTAGTACCTCTTGGAAACAGAAATTTAAAACTCCCATGTGCAGGATTTTATTTGCGGTGTGATCCATTGAGCTGCGCGCTACTGACTTACTGGGTCTTAATACTGTAGTGGTTGTAAAATGCCTTCATCACATTTAGGCTAACCAACAAGTCTTAAATTTAAAACTATATAACTCCTAAAAGTATTTATGTCCGTATAGTGTCAATACACTTTCTCACATATTCTGATGCAGTTATTTAATTTGTTTGAAGGAATTTTAAGGAGACCATAT